TCAATGAAGCGTTCACGTCCAGCGGCAGCTCTCTCTGGCCTTCTCTCCCGTTCATGAGTGTCTTCTAGTCCACGACGGATCACTTGCATACGGTTAACCTTAAAAGACCACGATAAGAATTCAGAGCAATTAAATGTGGCACAACTCACCTCAACGGAAAGCGTTTGCATATCGTTGTAGTAGGTGTCGACTTCGTTGAGCGTTAGCCGCAGCATACCGCTCAGCTTCATGAATATTGCTCGCATATCCTCAGATGGCAATGAGCGAAGGTTGTTTAGAGTCTAGAACATTTGAAAGGCTTTGTTTTCAATGAACTCTGAATTACCCTTCAACTAACCCTTCCATTGGATTTCAATAACTCCTCCACTATTTCATTGATCCGTGTGTCATCTACAGTAATCAGTCGTGGTGGTATCTTTACCCACGATGCAATATTCATCAACTCAGCGTCTTTCTTCTCCTTCGCAAGTATGAATAGTGGGTCTAAAGGGATTCCATCCGACAAATGCTCATTTTCATGAAATCCAGTTCACTTACTTATCCAGAGCGCTGTATAATTGTCAGGACAGAGAATATCAAATTCTTCGCTAACCATCATACTTTCAGTTGGTGAGTCAGTTCCAAGAATAACATCAACGCCTTGAACGTCATGGATCTTCTTTATGTTCGATGTTTCGCATGGCAACATACAAGAACTTACTGATGGGGAGCTCAGGAAGAGTATGTGGGAAAGCTCCTCGTAATACAAACTCCCGTCGCAGTTCCATTAAAATCAATCCGAGACGGTTTCCGCCAAGATAGGAAGGACGGAAAGCCATGGGTCGCGTACATAATTCGAGCAACTGAAAGAGGACATTCATTTGCTCTGCCTATAAAATATACCCACCTTCCATTTGAAATTTAGCAAAGCGAAAAACTGATCCGCACTTATAGGAAATGTTGCTGGAATTTTTTGTTCTCGATATCGCTTTCAATGGCTACTTGGTGGCTAGTAATTTATTTTCGTGCTTACAACATTCAAATGTAACCAAAAAGAAGCATTAACCTTGCCTAGGGAAAACCGCAACATATCCTCTATCAAAACATAACAAAATCGAAAACTGTACACAAATAAGAATAAATAAAATTTCATAAAGTAGACCGAGTTGAATACTATACATATAAATATAAATAAACAGGCACACTCCGACTGTATTTACTAAAAAAAAAACCTAAAATGTCATTTCACCTGTTTGCTAGAGATGTCAACAGTGTAAAGCCACGCTCGAAGATCAGACTCGCGCATTCCAATCGATAACTCCGTCTCCATAGAGCAAAATCTTGCACAGTAGACCTAATA